AAAAAAAAAAAAAAGAAGTAGGGATTAGAGAATTGGTGGCAAAAATAAAAGGGTTTTTTGTTTTGTTTTGTTTGTCACAGAGCTATAGCAGTTGACTATAAATTTGCCTTAGTATCAGATCAAAGGATCCTTCAAGGAAGTGGGAAGTAGGGCTGTTTGGAGCCTTTTCAATACACAGGATAGCAGCCACCTAATCCATAAAATGGCACCTGTCTCCCCACTCTCCACCCCCTTTCCCTGCTCTGTTCTCCTTCACAGCACTGATTAACCCCTAACATGTTATTTAGTGTTTTCTCTGGTCTCTGGCTCCCCCAGTAGCAGAGACTTTGTCTTTTCTTCGCTGCTGTACCCTCTACATAGAGAACAAAACCTGACCTATAAGAGATGCTCAGATGGTATTTATTACTTGGCTGAGTGACAGTGCTAGAACTCACATTATTTCTTGTCTAATCTTTTACAGGAATTAGACATTCTAAAAACCCCATTTTGTAGGAATTTCTAAAATAGAAGAATAATGTAGCAAAGCATATTCTCATCCCCTAGAAGTCTCACCTATCAACATTAACCATATTTCCTTTCAGTCCTTTTTTCTTCTGTATCTTTTTAATCTCATTAGTAATAAATGCACACACACCTTTTTATTTCAGAGGAAATGAAATGTTACAGATAAAGCTAAGGTAACCATAATCACTTCTTGTGCTCTTGAAATTTCATTAAAGGGCCTTCATTTGTGAAAGGCATAAGAAGAAGCTAAGAGACATTCTGAACCAGTGCCAGAACTTCTCTTTGTATATTTAAAAAAAAAAAAAAGTTCTCATCCACTGTAATCTTTTTTCAAAACAAGAGACTCGGAAAGTCCTGGATCAACTCAGGTTGGCCTCTGAACACACGCCGGCTTTCCCCTCAGAGTCATTCACCAAGTCTACGGCCCACCCGCGGTGGGCTACGGCGGCAAGTGGGCCACACGGCAACCCCTGCCCCCCGGTAGCTCACATTCCTGGGTGAGGTAGATGAGGTACCAGTGAGTAAGAAACGCCCGTCAGACACAGACGGAGCAAATACTAAAACTGGGAAAGGTGGTAAGGAGGAAGTGGAGGGCCGTGTGTAGTGGACAGTGGGGGCTCAGCAGGTGTAGAGCACGTCAGGAAGAGCTGGGGGTGGGGGGGCGCATAACCAGACATGTAGGACCCTGTGAGTCCGTGTAAGGACTTGATTTACTCAGAGGAGAACCGAAAGCCACTGGAGATTGTTCAGCAGTGGGGGGACACGGTCTGACTTCCCTTAAAGGGGTCATCGTGACTTGACAAACCTTCCCTTCCACCAGGTAGAGACTAATGGTGGCAACAATTGTAGCAGTGAAGAAGTGGTCGATTCCGACATGGTTGAAAGAGGCAGTGGAATTTGCTGAGGGATCAGGTGAGCATCAGGAGAGGAGGAAAATGTCAAGGATGACCCCAGGGTCTTTGGCAAAAGAGACCACAGGATGAATTGCACTCACCAACATGGGGAAGCCTGCGGGAGCAGGTTTTTTAGGGAAGACCAGGTGTTTGTTTTGGACCTATGACATTTGAGACGTCTGTTAGACATCCACGTGCAGTGTATGGTCAGCAGTAGAATATACTTGAGTTCAGGATAGAGGTCCAAACTAGAAATACAAATTTGGGAGTCATTAATGTATAAATGGCATATTTAGAAAAGTGAAATAGGCTGAGATGAATAAGGAAGAAAATGTAGACGGAGAAGAAAAGAGGCTTCAGGGCTTATGGCTAGAGGCCAAGGAAATGAGGAGCCAGCAAAAGAGCACGAGAAAAGTAGCCAGAGCGTTCAGAAAAGGACGTATTGGAAGCCAAGGGAGGAAGCGTTAAGGGTGAGAACATGGCACATGCTTCTGCTCGGCCAGGCAGGATGAGGACTGAGACTTGTCCTGTTGCACACTACCGATGTCACACATTGCAGAGAAGATGAGAAATCGAGGATGAGATTAGTTAGGAGAATAGGTAACTCTTCCGAGGACTTGTGCTGCAGAGGGGAGCACAGAAACATCTTTGCTTTTCTCAGCGTTAGCTTCCTACTGACAGGATCCGTCTCTGCAGACACCTAGCCTAGCTGTTTGTATCAAGGTGTATGTATCGCTGGCACAGTCCTGCTTGTCGAGTGTTGTGTCGTAGTCCCTGGAGCCAGTGTCCTTCCCTGCCTCCTGGCCACCTGGCACTGACAGGCGGGGCTATGAACACCAGCAGCGCGCTCGGGGCCCGGCTGAGAATGGCGTGGTTGTGAGGTGTGAAGGCCCTGCAGGGCCATCCTGGGTGTCAGAAATTTCATCTCTGTTCTTTTTTTTTTTTTTTTTTTTGAGGTATCTCCTTGCTCTGTGGTCCATTTTGAAAATATAAAATTTAGAAGAGCTTTGAGTGCGTTGGTCTGACCCGGTTCTACCCTTGACTCATGAGGAACACTAAGAGGGGGTCTTGGGTGGGAGGTGGTGGTGCAGACGGATGCAGAAATGCCCGACCTCTAGGAACAGACTGTGCTGCCCCATACTTGCCCTGTACTCCGTCCTTGCTGAAGCCCTTGGAATCACTGCGCCCCATATCCTGTTTGGGGCAAAGAGAGAGCACTTCCCGTCTGCTCGCCTTGCTGCTTCTCCCTTTCATGAGAGTTTAACTGGGGAGATAAGAAGAGGAAATCAGATTTTAAACCCTGTGATACACATTTGAAGTCAAATTTTCAGTGCTGAAGAGGTATTCCATTATCCTACGGCTGACTCCGAAGCGCTGATGCACCCCTGATGTGGTGATCTGGGGGCCTGTGCTGAGGCACGAAGCTACCCTTCTCTCTTCACTTACGCCAAGGCCACTGAGTGAGCGGAGCAGCTCCCGAGGTGAAAAGCAGTGACTCATGGTCAGCAGTGCTTGAACAGAACGCCAGTATTCAGCAGATGTCTTCAGAGAGGAGAATTGACAACCAACCGTACTTCCCACATTGAACGTTAGGGCCCAGATGTACATTTGTTTACGGAGGGGCGTAAATGATGAGAAGGCAGTGCAGATGTTTATATGAAGACCTACTAATGGGGGGGAAACAAATTAACTTGGGAGGGTCCTCTGACACTCAGGATGCACGGCCACGGTTGCATTAATCCCAAAGCCCCAGCAAGGTCAGCCCCTTGGTAGATATGGGGAGGCGGGGGAGGCTAGGGGCTGACAGCTGAAAGAGGCCCCCAGTTCAGAGAGTTACTGCTCATCCCACTCAGAGCCTCTCACCACAGACTTGACTTCCTCAGAGCCTCACTTTGGTCCTTGCCACCCTGGCCAGCCCTGAACTTGGCCAACTCCCAGGTACACCTGATTTCCTCGGTTGTGTTTTCCAGCAGCGGCGCCTGTGCCCTCTGGTCCTTGGAGAGAGGGCCTCTTGGCCGCCGGTTTGCAGCCTGAATCTCTGCGAGTGGGGCCTGAGGCTGCGCCGCCCACATTCATTAACATCTTCGCTGTCTCCCTAGATCATCTCTGAAAGTGGTGAAGGCAGCAGCCCAGGTCTTGAATACATTATGGCAATATCGGGACCTCCGGAGCATTTATAAAAAGGTAACTTACAAGAATAGCTCTGGCATAATTAGCATTCATCAGAGCACACATTCGTAATCATTTATTGTAATGAAATGTCATTATTCATTTTGAGAGGTTTCTTTTTCTCTTTTAACTCCACAGGATGGGTGGAATCAGAACCATTTTATTACACCTGTGTCGACGTTAGAGCGAGACCGATTCAAATCACATCCTTCCTTGTCTACCACCAACCAACAGATGTCACCCATCATTCAGTCAGGTCAGTGGGCAAACTGCACTCCTTCGTGAGAACATTTGTGTGACAGACGTTATTTTTCCAGCCAGAAAAGACTGAACATAGACGATTAAGCCTGTCACCTCCAAACACTTAGGAGGTGTATTTGCTCTTCGAGCCAAGAGCCTTCTTTGGGAATTACATGCCATTGTAAACCACAGACCCACGTTCCTCCTTCCATTTTAAAAGTTTATGCAAGTTTACACATAAATGTATCCCAGGGCCCTCCATCCCATCTCCCCTAAGATTCTGCTTCACTAGGTTTGAGAAGGGGCTTGGGACTCTGTGTTTGACAGACTGGTCAGGCAATGTGGATGCAGGAGTGGAGGCGCACACTTTGAGAACCACCAGTTATGCTTGAAAACAGCTGCCCTGCCTGCCTACTGGCCATAAGTTTGGAATCTCCTCCAAAGTGATTTTTTAGTTTTCTTGGTGAGAACTCTTAGAAGCAGGGTCCTTTACACATCATCTTATTACCTGCGTTCTGGGGGAGCTACAATCTTCCGCACCTTCCTCCTTCCCGGTTAAACCTCCATCCCCGGGCTGTATTCCAGAACCTTCCACCCCATCCCTCACCCCCGCATCCATGACCCATGGGAACAGGCCCTACAGGTGGGTTTGCAGGGATTCCCTTTGATTTGTAAGTTGGGAATCTTGGCAACCACACTAACTACTTACTAGTGTCTAATTTGGTAGAACGAATGTTCTGAGACTCAGACTGGGAAGGATTATTTTGTTTTTTCTTAAGATTTTATTTATTTGAGAGAGTGCAAGAGAGAGAAAGCACGAGAAGGGGAAGGGTCAGAAGGAGAAGCAGACTCCCCGCTGAGCCAGGAGTCCGATCAGGACGCGATCCTAGGACTCCCATCCCCAGAACTCCAAGATCATGACTTGAGCCGAAGGCAGACACTTAACCACCCATGTGCCCCCAGACTGTTTTTTATATGAGGGCAGAATATTACTACCAAGTCAAGTTAGTCCTATAAATTTAATTCTTAGCTAAATGAAATAGGAAAAGTAATATCTTTTTTTATTCGGCTTTAAACCCCCCATTCTGACATAGAAATATTATCTGTTGTATTCAACTGTCCCGCTGCTGGCAGTCTTATTTCTCATGTGGACAAATGTGGCCAGAAAGACAAATATAGGACTGGCCGTTCTTGCCACATAATTGGATGTCTCCACTTGTACTAGGATTTTTTAAAATTATCTGTGCCTACTGCGTATGGTGTATATTTTTATCTTAGTTTTTAAATTATGAGTTGTTTTCTTCAAAGAGACTTGTGGTTGGTTTTTGACATCCTTGCTGAGCTCCCAGGTGTAGCCTGAGGCTGTCTTCTTTTATAAAAATGCTCAGAATCCTTCAGGGACTCAGAAATAGGGGTGTCAGGGGAAACAAGAGATTTGGCTGCTCAACAAAAGGCATATGTAGTACAGGCAAAAGAATAATTTCAGACAGATGAGGGCGTAGTTACTAAGCAATGAACTTATTTTGAGGACCTCATATATACACACTGGACAAGGTTGATGAGCCCATCCAAGTTCCCGGATTCTGTTTCAGAGGTAAGATAGAATTCATACTTGTTGCTCCAGTTATCCTAAGGGCTAATCCTCCATCTCTCAGCACTAATGTAGTATCAGCTTACTGGCACTTCTGATGCCTTGCTAATGTCCTTGTGGGAGGTGGGTGGGCACGTTCTTTGTCCTCCTGCCTTCTAGAAAGTAAACAAGGTGAGTAGCACACAGACACTGCCCATGCACGCTCACCTTTGTTGAACACACTGCAACCCTATGTCAGTAAAGTGACCTTTTAGGGAAAAATATTTCAGCGTCGGTCTGCATCCGAAAGCATCAAGGCATGCCGAACCACTGGTGGCAAGGTTTGGGGGCCGCTGCTTTCAAGTGGATCAAGTGAATAAGTGACCACTTTTATTTATAATTAACTTTAGTGCAAGCAAGATGACTTTTTAATGAGAAAAAAGATGTGTCATGCTTTCCTTCTGTGCAGAAATGGCTCAAAAGGAGACCTATGGATAGAGACGTTATTATTAAATATTTGGCTCAAACTGGGATAAAAAAAATTGGGGTTTTGTGAGGCTCGGCTTGTTAGCATTGTGAACTTCTTGAGGAGCCAGGCTTACTGGGTTTACAAAATTTCCCTGACAGCTGATCACCATAAAAAGAATTAGAAATTTTATGGGCTGGGCACTGTTATTCAAACACATTTAGAGATGGAGATATTTTTGAAATAATTAAAAATCAAAATATGCCATAAAACACCTATTTACTAAAGAGCTGTACATAAAGGATAAAAGATGGGTGTTTTATACGCAACAGAACTGAGATCATAAAATAGCAACTGTAACTCTTAGGTGGCTAATAAGTTATTCTCACTCAATTGTAAAGACCTGTTGGGAGTCCTGGAGGCCCACCACTGAGGAAGCTGCGTAGTTTCTGCCTTGCGCCTCTCTCTAACCAGGCGGCCCACAGGGGACGCTCTGGGAGGGCGGGCCACGCTGGCTCGGCTTCTCGCAGCAGCGGGTCTGAGGGTCACCTTCCTGGTCCTCAGCACGGGCTGCTCTTCAACTCACAGTATCTCTGAGAGCTGATTTTTAGCACCAGCTGCGTGGCATTTCTAATTGCTGACCTTTATTTTTCCAGAAAGGATTTTGCAGAGACACTGACAGTCTGCTTTCTCTTTCTTCTCCTTTCTCTCTCCCTCCTCTGCCTCTCCCTTCAGTCGGCAGCACCTCCTCCTCACCAGCACTGTTAGGAATCAGAGACCCTCGCTCTGAATACGATAGGACCCAGCCACCTATGCAGTATTACAATAGCCAAGGGGATGCCACACATAAAGGCCTGTACCCTGGTAAGACGCCAGCTGGGTATGTGATAGAGTATCTCGAAAAGCCACTCGTTTCCAGGCACCCCGCCAGCGGCCTGGGAAGTAGCCCATGCCTGTATTGAGACGGTCCCCCAGCAGCCGACCACGGTCCAGTCTGTCCATTTCCTGCTTCCGGGGCTGTTGCCTTTTCCGCTTGTTTTAAGCAAAACAAGCTAAGGTAGTGGCCTAGTGACCACAAATAAAAAGAGCACGGTATCCAAGAGAGGTGGTTTCTGGCTTTCCCCCAGTGCAGTCCCTTTGCTCTGCTCCCTTCCCGTCCATGCAGTGTCTCCCTGTGTTTCCCCTGTGTCAGAACTGAGTTCTGGGATGCTTTGCAAGGCCACATCTCCTAGACTGGCTCATCTCTTAAATTCAAACCTGAGAATGGAGATCAATTTCATTTACATTTTCATGGAAAAGAATTTGAATGAATAACAAAATGTATAATGTGATTCTTCCCGGAGTGATTATATTTTAAGAATAACAAAAATGATGTTGCATACTATTCATATTTTTATGTCATTCAGAAACCTGGGCATCTAATTCACGTGAAGGATGCCAGCCCGAAGAGTTACCAAGATCTCATATTGTCCCCATTCTCAACTCTCTGGCAAATTATAACTGCTCGAGAGGTTTCAAATAAGGGTGTGACTGAGCTACCACAAAAGAGTACTCTTTCCTCAAAAAAACCTATTTATTAAAAAGAAATAAAAGCTGGTGGCAATTTAACAACTGCTGGGGGAGCCGTCTCAGTTGTGCTGTTGTCTTTGAAAATGTGATTTCACAGGACTGTTTACTAATCGTCTGTTGTTACTATGGCAATTAATAGCTCAGAAAATTGCAGATGCTACATTTCAAACACCGAGCTCTTTGCAAAGGAAATGCACCAACTGAAGTGCATTGTTGCTTCAGATTTGCAGCAGCCTGCTTTATTTTAAAGATCGCCTCTTTAGCATGCATGCCCTTCTGTATCTTCTTTGCTTGCTTCAATAAACTAATTTGCCTCAAGTATGTTTCATTTTCCTCATTAAAAAAAAAAAATCTTTGCTAGCCTAACAATAAGAGAAGGGTAGCCAATGACATCATCGGGAGTCTGCTGTGGACTCTTGAAGACAACCATCTGATTATCAGATTCTTTTTGTTTCAAAATGTACTTAAAGATAGCAGATACAAGACGGTGCCTCCATGTGGCCAGACTGCTTAGAACACGCCCGTGCCTGCTTGTTCCAGGACCTGGACTTTGAATCAGAGCTCTGATTCTGAAGGCATGGAATTTGTAATGTTTCCCTTCCCCCATCCGACCCAGTGCTCTAGCTCAGAGCCCTGGAAGAGTGATGTCCCTCGGCTCAGGGAGCCAGGCTGCTGTTCAGAGCCAGCCAGGGAGACCTTTACAGGTATACACAGCTCCCCACAGTGACCAGAGGTTGAGAAGGAAACCTTTTTGGATTGGTATTGCTTTTCGGTGAAACACACACATGACTTACCTTTGCCATACCCATTATCAGCTAACAGCTAGATCCAGGGATCCCAGACCACTGCCTCTCCCGATCCCCGCTGGCACTGGGAAAGGCAGTCCCCATCAGGGACCGTACCAGCCCTAGTGCAGGGAGCCCACACAGCCTAATGGACCGGAGTGATGAGCACTAGTTTTAATTTCATAAAATATTTTCTTACAGGCTCCAGCAAACCTTCACCAATTTACATCAGTTCCTATTCCTCACCAGCAAGAGAACAAAATAGACGGCTACAGGTGAATTTGCAATATCATTTTTACAGAAGGCCGATTAGCAGGGATCGACACAGTAAGGGGTCCACGCCAGTTGACCTACCAGAGCTGGGCCAACACAGCAGGGGCCGAGGAGCTTTCCCTAGGGATCTCTGCTCCTCAGAAACTCATCTGTGGTTTAAGCAAAGCACTTCCACAGTAGCCTCACGTGCTTGAATATTCAAATCGGTGCTGCTGAGACCACCATGCCACTGATGGGAACCACCTGAGAAGTCTTTAACTCATATTCTTTGCCCAACAATCTTCGTTTCCCACTCCTTTTTTCTGTTAATCTCTAAATCCTCTTCCATCCTCTGGGTGGGGAAAGGTGGTAAGCATACTCCATTCTCTCATCTCATTGTTCTTTTTTGTAAACCTCATGTCCGATCTTCTTGGCTCCCTCCACATCCAAGCATCTGTGGTTTGAAAACACTTGAGTCGGTGGCCAGGTCTCCATTAGTTTCAGAAGTCAAAGTGGACTCAGCCCTACCGGGGTGGACCCCACTCTCCATCAGAGTGGGGACTAATGGTGGTGGCATCCAATCTGCTTTCACGGGGGGCCTAAAATTTATATCGGTCCTTCCTGATGCCATGCCCACATTAGGTCATCTGATCTCTCCTCTTACCTTCCAATAATACATGAGCAACTGGGGTTTTCCAAACAAGCCTGTACCCTGAACTTCAGATAAGGATACTCTAAGACCGCCCTCCATTTCATCATCTTTTCTCTGTTGATGGAAGAAAAAAGAACTTCGCAAGTTATTCATAATTTATGCCACAGTTTTTAAGTCAGGAGGGAAAAAAACCTTAAAATCATAACTCTAACTTAAAAAGAATTTAGCTCTGAAATGCTTATAATGTTAGAATGAACTTAGTTCCAGAACATGATATTGGTATGTACATGGTAAATTTGTTACATCTTACTAAGTGCGGGGATTTGGGCATGGTCAAGAGGGGAAACAGACATAAGAGCCATGACAGTTTTTCTTCACATATTTGAAGACATTAATGTGAGGTCAGAGATGAGATAAGATAACACAAAAGGAAATGGGGGCAGGGTGCCTTGAGGTGGATGCCCACATGGGTTTCACCTTGCTTCTTTACCAATCTGATTAGTCCTGGCTTGGGGAAATCTTTCCTATTTGTTCACGTGTCTCTTCCAATTTTATTATTCTGCTGCCCAGGGATTGCTTACTCCTTTAACAGTACCTCACATTTCTTTTAAAACTGAGGGATGGACTCAATCTTCATCTCTGAGGTAAATGTTTTAAAGGATGGTTCTGTACATACACAACTATCTGAAGCATGAAAATCCAACCTCCGACCAAATTCATGATGTACTACTCATGGTTCCCCTGTGTCAAAGCAAAAATCAAGGCCATCCTTTCATTGGGCATGCCCAGGTAACAGGCCCCTCCACAGCAGAGCACAGAACCGGACCTCTAGCGGGGGAAGGAGGTAGCCAGAGGCCATCTTGGGCTCTCCGGAGACAACAACTTCTACAGGCCTTAAAACAGGACTTGAGCAAACTCTGCCAGCCCACTTATAAACATAGTTTAAAGTCCTTACAATCTACTAGTAAATATACAGCGTGTACCAGAAAGAACTTTGAACCATATGTTCACAAATACTGAATACTGCTTTAAAAATATGAAGCAGGAAACCCACATTAATTTCCCTTAAACACGTATTTCCAAAAATTGCTTTGATTTATTTGCTTTTTCATTTTGTCAACAGCATCAACAGCTGTATTATAGTCAAGATGACTCCAACAGAAAGAACTTTGATGCATACAGATTATATTTACAGTCTCCTCATAGCTATGAAGATCCTTATTTTGATGACCGAGTTCACTTTCCAGCTTCTACTGATTATTCAACACAGTATGGACTGAAATCGACCACAAATTATGTAGACTTTTATTCCACAAAACGACCTTCTTACAGAGCAGAACAGTACCCAGGGTCCCCGGACTCGTGGGTGTAGCATCAAGATGCTCCGTAGAGGAACTCTTCTTTCTAACCTTGTTTGGGTTGAGATGAAAAATCCATCTTGCTGATTTGCTGATGAAATGTGAAAGTGAAATGAAAGGACCGAGTGAAGAGCATATTTTTTCTCTTTTGAGGAATTATCAGGGAAGTAAGGAAACCTTTGGGAGAGAGGACTTTCTAAGCTCTATTTAGGTGTTAGATCTAATTACTTGTAGATTCTATAGTCTGGTGAAGGTGTGGGCGATGTGATGAGAGGTTTGAGACATGGGTGAAATGAGATGAGGGATGTGTAGGTCAAATCAAATTAAAGATGATTTTTTTAATGTGAATAAAGTTATGTTCTGATAGTTTGTACAGAAAAAAAATAATAAAATGGATGCCCTTCATGTTTTATTGCTATTACTAAATGTCAAGATTGTATGCTATTATGTCTTGTAAATTTCTTTTGTTGGTGTAAATATGGAAATGCCACATTGGTTAAGTGCCATCATTTGTAATGCAGTGTGTCATTTGAAAAGAGATTTGAAGAAAACTGACAGCTTAAAAAACAAATGGGAAACCCAAGGAACTGTTAGCAATTAAAAACAAACTATAACATCCTTTGTTTTCAAAATGAATAGTGTACCTTTGAAGCACAAAGTCCAGTCTGGTATAGAAACGCCATGCCCATTCCCTGCCTCTTTCATAGGACACTTCACTGCCATTTTCTATGCACATGAAAGAAAAATAAATGTGGAAATTTCATCCTTGGAAATTTGTTCCCTGTTCTTTTTTTATTTTCTGTGTGTAATAACAGAAAAGCACGTTCTATAAATGTGAATCTAACTGCATGTTGTAAATATATCCAAGTATTATGGACTTTTCTAGTTTTATACACTTTATGAGGTGGACCGTACCAAAGAATGAAACTCTGACATTTCCTCCTCTTTATCTACCTTAGTATTTTTATTTGGGGGGATTTGTTTGAATCTAATGTACATTGTCTTTTTTTTTTTTTTTTTTGTCTTCAGACTGCTGTATGTATTTAACACTGCTTTTCACCTGCATGAAATTACATCTGACAAGACAAGCCCTAACTAAGTTGACAACGACTCCTTTTGGCAATTTTTTTAAGAACTCAGGAACTAGGCAAAAACAATGGTTGGGCACTTATTGGTTGACACCAATGCAGGAAACCAAAACAAATTCTAAATAATTATTTTGCTGAATGATCCCATGAGACAATAATCCCTGGATTAGAGACAGAGTGGAGGAAGCCCCATATACATGATAGGGGTTCCAATAGTACCAAGCAGCGTAACTTGTAAGCTTTTTCTCCATTTGTTGAGATGAGAGGCACCAGCCCCTGGAGGCCCAAAGACAGGCCTTCCTAAGTCTTATGGTTTCCACCCTGGATCTTACATGGGAAACAACCCATATGGCAAGTCAGACCCAGAGTTGTTGACTGAGCTCAGTATATCCTGCAAATGAGGTACGAATCATAAATTAGAACGTGAGCTTATATTTGTGAGTATATGGAAAGAGCTCTAGGAGAAAAATGCTTTCTCTTGTTGAATGGACTGCAGCGCAAGATTAGAATCCAAAGTGAAATGGAAATCCAAATACAAACAGGAATATCGCTAAAGTTTGTCAGTGGGAGGACTTTCTGACGTGCAGCCTTCCTGAAATGACCCACAGTAAGACTGCCCAGCTGCCCCTGGCCTCACATGCCCTGGGAGATCTCAGCAAACAGCCCTCTAGGTGGCAGACACTGCCAGATTTCCCCGAGGAACTGGCATTAAGACTTGAGATGTCTGGTAGCCATCTGAGCTTTGAATCACTGACTTCCTTGAACCTGACATTTCCATGTCTGGGTTGAAGGCCCTCACTCGAGGAGTCAGGAATACAAAAGGATCTGTAGATGGCCTGAGCTGAGTGCAGTAACTGACTTAACTTGGTGGACCCAGGTCCCCAGGTCTCCAGCTCTGACAGGCAGCATTTCAAAAACAGATCCAAATTTGGGTTACAAAGAACTCCTCACTTGGGTATCCACCCGGACCTCCTAATGGGGTCAGAAAGAGGCCAGTGGGTGAGGATTGGGCAGAAGATCAGATGCCCTATAAGGCTTCTTCCTTGTGACCAGAGATAAGCTATGGACAGAGCCTGAAAGATACAAAACTGTATCACTGATCAAAAAGCTAATCCCACTCCCAAAGTGTAAGAATAAACAAGCCGTACTATAACCAAATTGACTTTTTTTTTTTAAGATTTTATTTATTTTAAAGATTTTACTTATTTGTCAGAGAGAGAGCACAAGCAGGGGGAGTGGCAGGCAGAGAAAGAAGCAGGCTCCCTGCTGAGCAAGGAGCCCGATACAGGACTTGATCCCAGGACCGTGGGATCACAACCCGAGCCGCAGGCAGACGCCCAACGAACTGAGCCACCCTTATTTTACAGAAAGAGACAGATCATAAGCATGAGCGAGGCGGGGGGAAGGGAGGTAAGGGAGAGGGAGAAGCAGACTCGCCACTGAGCAGGAAGCCCGACACGGGGCTTGATCCCAGACTCTGAGACCATGACCCGAGCCGAAGGCAGATGCCAAAGTTGACTTTGTTTTGCTGCCCTTACGTCACAAGACAGCATGCAAAATTCAGCCCCCAGGAAGAGGTCTGTGGCTCTGCTCAGTGAGTTTCACTGCATACCACAAGGTCAGAGCTGAACTGAGCCAATGTTGGTGAGCTAGACCAGTTGTGTACCCTGACTGCACATTAGAACCACCTGCGCAGCTTTCACAACTAGGAGGGCCTTATCCTGACCAGTCAAAAGCACAAGAAATGGGGTCCAGGCACCACTATTCTTGAAAAGCTCCGTGGGTGACTGTGATGTGCACTCAAGGTAAAAGCCACTTGGCCCACACACCATTACCCTCTACCTTCCTGCCCGGTCACCTGACATTTTGGTGGTTGGAGTTTGAGGTGTGGAGTTTGCCTGGAAGAGTGACAGAGATTTGGAGTATCATAACTGAGATTTTAAACTTGAAATGTGAGAGGTAAGGTTTTCCTTCTTGCCAGAGTATGTATCTTTTGCTTATGCACTGTTCAAAGTTATGTCTTTTCAAGCCCAAGGACGTTTCATGAGTATCAGAAATGATGACCTCACAGACCCATTAATTAATCCAGTAATTAATCCCTGGCCAATATTTGGTTGTCCACATGACTGCTGATTATTCCAGTAAAATACCAATAATTCACTTTCTGGAGCACTCACTGTATGCTATGTGAGTGCTCCAGAAAGTGAGTGAATGTATGAAATCTGTGCTAATACCCCATTTTACAGATCCTAAAGCAAATGTGGAGCAGCTTGTTGAAGATGACACAGTTGGTAAGTGGCCAAGGCCAGTTAGTACTATGGTCTATCTTAACTATGACGCCAGTGTTAAAATTCAGTCATTTGAGTTCCAACTGAGCTATTATTTAATGAAAAATGTTCATATTTGTCTTTAATTTTCCAAAGGAAACTCTATCCCTGAAGGAAAAACCATCACCTGCCATAAATAAAAAGTCACCATAAAAATAAACATTTAACTACTAAACATACAAATTTCCAGGGACCACCAGAATTCAGCACTCCACCACCACTGGTGTTATATGCACCTCGTTTTGGAAAACTTGGGTCCTGATCAGTCTGGTATGTATGACAGTTTAGGTGGGCTGAGAACTCCCCTTAGGATGTTCTGAGTCATGCCTCTGAATACAGGCCCATTGAAACAAAATCCGCCATGAGGCAACCCTCTTGTCTGGGGGCCTCAGTAATACCTTTAGAGGAACACACAGATCTAAAGCCAGTGGATGGTGGTGTTATTTCTATGATTAAATCAGATTATAAGGGAAAAACTATTTGTAAACTTGGCCACTGCTGTTCACTTCATTAGGTTTTTTAAAAGTTGTTTATAACAGCATTATTCATAACAGGCAAAAACTGGAAACAACCCAAATCTCCAACAGGAGAATGGATAAACAAACTGGCACATTTATGTAATAGAATACCACACCACTAGGTGCGCCTGGGTGGCTCAGTCGTTAAGCGTCTGCCTTCGGCTCAGGTCATGATCCCAGGGTCCTGGGATCGAGCCCCGCACCAGGCTCCCTGCTCCACGGGAAGCCTGCTTCTCCCTCTCCC